CTGAGATTGACACGCTTTACTGGTGAACGTTAATTGGATTTTCATATATGATTGAAACATCATGTTTCAGTCTCGATAATAGTTTGCTTTGATCGTGTAACAGACTACGTACATATTATTAAACAATATATACAGCTCATAGGTATGTTAACTAGAGGCACAATACCTCTATAAAGTTATTTTATACGACCATTTGACATCATAATAATATAAATATTAAAGTCTCTATAAAACATTAAATAATAGATTAAATAAATTGTAAAATTATACTTTATATTCATAATATCTGTTATTAATAATAATTTAGAGAAGTGAATGATGTAAATTTATCGGGTAAAACAATTTACCGTAAATTTTACCAATTTTTTTTCACCGGTAAAATATTTTTTATCAAAAAAAAATGTTGTGTGGTCCTTCTAATCAAATGAAATCAAAAACGCCTAGTCTGAATTGTTAGGAGATAATTTTTTTGTCAACTGATAATAATACAATACTTACTAATCATATTTTCGACACTGTATACACATATATGGATGGTATTAAATTTGAATTCAATGATATGATATTATCATTGTATAAGAAAAACGATTCTGAGCAGAGACGGTATGTCAGTCTAGGTATAAGACAAATTATATACTTATCTATGGTACTTATTAAAAAAAAAAAATTGTACCTATAATAAATTCCAAATTAATTATATTACAATATTTATTAAGTACTTATAACTCGTTATACATCAATAACAAACCGTGATACTATCAAGGATATATAGTAGTATACTTTAGAAGTTTCAAGTACCCACGAATAATATTATACAATCACAACAAAATAACTAAAATAGTTATTCTAGGTTTTTTAATATTATGTAATTCCGTCTAAATTTGAACCTAAAATGACTATAAAAATAAACGGTGCTTATGAGTCTTTTAGATTTTTTGGTAAAACGGTTAACTGCTTAAGTGGAATCTTGTTTTAAATTTTCAACCCTTAGATATAAAAGTTGAACATTTTATACATTTTTAACTACAAAATAATTATTCAATTTTAAATTTGATAAATTTTGACAAAATTCGATCTTTAAATGCTTATAAAAAAAAGTTGTGCCTATGTTTATGTAACTACTTGTCGTGTACACAGACACAAAAAATAATTAAAAATTAAATAAAAAACACACAGCAATGTAAAATCAATACACTCATCGTTCTACTAGGAATCTAAAAATAACAATGGCTCTAAGATTTAGCTATTTTACCATTTTTACCACATTATTGGTAAATTTACAGATATATTTTTTTTGTGTAAATTCCCCACCTTAAATTATTTATTATATACAACTTTTAGTCGTTCACCAACGATTATTTTAAGTAAAATAAATAGTAAATTTTCAAAAGATTGAAATATCGTGTTGTAGTCTAGATAGTACCTATATTGCTATATATAATATAAAGTTATTTTATAAGTAATTTTTTTCCAATGTTTCACTTTGGTGTTGTAATAATATGCACGGCTTTTCGTGAAAAATCGTAATTTAATAAAATATACCTAAGTGTCCTCCAATATATAAAACTTTAAATAATAGCTAGTATAAATAAATATTGTAATATTATTTGTCAATTATATATTATTATATATTATAGAACTTTTAGTATTTCACCTACGATTATTTTAGTTAGAATAAATAAGAAATTGGATTCGAAAAAAATTGTATTAATAGTTCTCAAAAAAAAAAAAAAATATATATATACATATATAACTTGTAGTTGTATGTATTATTGCTTAACAAATGTGTAGTTTAAATGTATAATATAATATAACAATATGCGTACCTACGTATAAACTGATAAGGTTGTGGTTGTGTATTAGGTATACAATATAATATACAGCTCATAGGTACCTATAAGTATTATAATACATATATAAGGTTATTTTATACGTCCATTTGACATCATAATATTAATATGTACGGTTTTTCGTGCAAAATCGTCATTCAATAAATATTAAAGTATGTATAAGACATTAAATAATATATTGTAATATTATTTATTAACTGAATATCTATTATTATATAGAACTTTTAGTTGTTCTCCTACGATTATTTTAAGTAAAATAAATAATAAATTGTCAAACGATCGAAATATCGTGTTGTAGTCTCGATGATATTATATCTATAAAGTTATTTTATAATTTATTTATTTTTTCCAATGTTTCACTTGACATTGTATTAATATGCACGGTTTTTCGTGAAAAATCGTAATTTAATAAAATATACCTAAGTGTCCTCCAATATATAAAACTTTAAATAATAGCTAGTATAAATAAATATTGTAATATTATTTGTCAATTATATATTATTATATATTATAGAACTTTTAGTATTTCACCTACGATTATTTTAGTTAGAATAAATAAGAAATTGGATTCGAAAAAAATTGTATTAATAGTTCTCAAAAAAAAAAAAAAATATATATATACATATATAACTTGTAGTTGTATGTATTATTGCTTAACAAATGTGTAGTTTAAATGTATAATATAATATAACAATATGCGTACCTACGTATAAACTGATAAGGTTGTGGTTGTGTATTAGGTATACAATATAATATACAGCTCATAGGTACCTATAAGTATTATAATACATATATAAGGTTATTTTATACGTCCATTTGACATCATAATATTAATATGTACGGTTTTTCGTGAAAAATCGTCATTCAATAAATATTAAAGTATGTATAAGACATTAAATAATATATTGTAATATTATTTATTAACTGAATATCTATTATTATATAGAACTTTTAGTTGTTCTCCTACGATTATTTTAAGTAAAATAAATAATAAATTGTCAAACGATCGAAATATCGTGTTGTAGTCTCGATGATATTATATCTATAAAGTTATTTTATAATTTATTTATTTTTTCCAATGTTTCACTTGACATTGTATTAATATGCACGGTTTTTCGTGAAAAATCGTAATTTAATAAAATATACCTAAGTGTCCTCCAATATATAAAACTTTAAATAATAGCTAGTATAAATAAATATTGTAATATTATTTGTCAATTATATATTATTATATATTATAGAACTTTTAGTATTTCACCTACGATTATTTTAGTTAGAATAAATAAGAAATTGGATTCGAAAAAAATTGTATTAATAGTTCTCAAAAAAAAAAAATATATATATATATATATATAACTTGTAGTTGTATGTATTATTGCTTAACAAATGTGTAGTTTAAATGTATAATGTAATATAACAATATGCGTACCTACGTATAAACTGATAAGGTTGTGGTTGTGTATTAGGTATGTATACAATATAATATACAGCTCATAGGTACCTATAAGTATTATAATACATATATAAGGTTATTTTATACGTCCATTTGACATCATAATATTAATATGTACGGTTTTTCGTGAAAAATCGTCATTCAATAAATATTAAAGTATGTATAAGACATTAAATAATATATTGTAATATTATTTATTAACTGAATATCTATTATTATATAGAACTTTTAGTTGTTCTCCTACGATTATTTTAAGTAAAATAAATAATAAATTGTCAAACGATCGAAATATCGTGTTGTAGTCTCGATGATATTATATCTATAAAGTTATTTTATAATTTATTTATTTTTTCCAATGTTTCACTTGACATTGTATTAATATGCACGGTTTTTCGTGAAAAATCGTAATTTAATAAAATATACCTAAGTGTCCTCCAATATATAAAACTTTAAATAATAGCTAGTATAAATAAATATTGTAATATTATTTGTCAATTATATATTATTATATATTATAGAACTTTTAGTATTTCACCTACGATTATTTTAGTTAGAATAAATAAGAAATTGGATTCGAAAAAAATTGTATTAATAGTTCTCAAAAAAAAAAAAATATATATATATATATATATATAACTTGTAGTTGTATGTATTATTGCTTAACAAATGTGTAGTTTAAATGTATAATATAATATAACAATATGCGTACCTACGTATAAACTGATAAGGTTGTGGTTGTGTATTAGGTATACAATATAATATACAGCTCATAGGTACCTATAAGTATTATAATACATATATAAGGTTATTTTATACGTCCATTTGACATCATAATATTAATATGTACGGTTTTTCGTGAAAAATCGTCATTCAATAAATATTAAAGTATGTATAAGACATTAAATAATATATTGTAATATTATTTATTAACTGAATATCTATTATTATATAGAACTTTTAGTTGTTCTCCTACGATTATTTTAAGTAAAATAAATAATAAATTGTCAAACGATCGAAATATCGTGTTGTAGTCTCGATGATATTATATCTATAAAGTTATTTTATAATTTATTTATTTTTTCCAATGTTTCACTTGACATTGTAATAATATGCACGGATTTTCGTGAAAAAACGTTATTTGATAAAATATACCTAAGTATATAAAAATATATATAAAACTTTAAATAAAAGCTAGTATAAATAAATATCGTAGTATTATTTGTCAATTATATATTATTATAAAACTTTAGTATTTCAACTACGATTATTTTAGCTAGAATAAATAATAAATTGTATTAAAAAAAAAAATATAAATATAATTAGAACTTGTTTGTATTATTGTATACCAAATGTGTAGTATAATATAATATAACAATATGAGTACCTAAGCTGATTAGGTTGTGGTGTCGGAATTGCTTACTTGCAGTTACCTGTGGGCCGTCGTCCATTGTATTCGTGCGGTTCGTATATATTAATTTACAACAGGTGGTTTGTAAATTAAATAGTTTACTAAATCACACACGTCGCGTCGTATAGGTTAATCTAATTAAAGGGATTTTAAACCTTTTTTTTTTTTTAGGGGTGTTACTCGTCTCGACAATAATATGTTTCCAATCCTGCAGCTAGTTCTGTAATAATAATATTATTAATTTACTATCCGTGTTAATATTATATTGTTTCAGTCGATGGAACCAAAAATGATTAAGGAAGAAGCGATCGAACAACGGGATTCCGGTATACTCGCAGACGATCCGGCGATAAATAACAACAATAACAAGGAATCCGCATTCAGAATTCACATTCGTAAGTACAAACTTTTGAGTTTATCTTGCGTTTTGTTACTGCACCCCCCGCAGTATTGTTATTATTATAAGTTTTATACAGAGAGGATATAAAAACAATTTTATAAGGTTATGGTTTACACAGCTGTAGTACATGTACCTACGTTAAAATATATAATTTATAGGTTAGGTATGTACTTATAAAGAGCACTCGTATAGTATAGCTTAAAACTTGAACATCTGCGTCTGTCTAATCAGCTATATTGGTAAAATCGGCAATCGTCAAGCTCAGTGATCGTGTCACGTAGTGTACCTACCTATAATTATTATACTTTTGATTTAAATTCGAGGATATAGTTACGTTTGAACAATTAATTATGAATGGAAATCTGCTTCAAATTTAATTTTTAAATTTTTAATAGGTAAATACTGAAAATAAAAATGTTTAATATTATGATTTAAATCTACTTTTGAAATTTCAGAATAGCCAATTTTAAATCTGGTTTTTAGAAAACTTTTCACAGTGAAAACATTTGTCTAAGTCAAGTGGTTTATTTTTTATAGTTTTTTTAAAATGTCAACAATTTTCAAAGTAAGACTCATTGATATTTAAATATCAAATAATATTTAAATTTTGACAAGTACCTATTTACCATTTCTCATAAATGTTAAAAAAAATTGTATACTTTTTAGATTAAAATTTTTTTATGACAGGAACAACTTTACAAGTTAACTTAAAAAAAATTATGAGATTTCAAAAAATTGTAAAAAACAAACTTTTTGACTAAAATAAATGTTTTTACAATCAACATTTATCTAAAAACCACATAGGTATATCAATTGGCTATTCAAAATTTTCCAAAAAAAGTTTATATCAGGTTTAAAATTTTTATTTTTCAGTAATAAAAAATCAAACAATCTGTAAATTATGTAAAAAAAAAAATCTTTATATTGATTAGAATAAAAGTTATTTGATTTGTCAGGTCTTCCTATTACACGCCCTATATATTATAGTTTTATACAGGGTGATAGGTGATTCACCAAGGATGCATACCCCCATTGTTTTTTCTTTAATAATGAGTTCTTTCAAATTCTGATTTTTGGAATTTTATAAATTTATAAATATACTCAAAGACCATTTTATTAAATTCTTGAACTTTTTCGTTCAGTTTTTGAGGCGTATCGTGTCGTGACTAAAAATTCTATTTTTTAAATCAGAACCCCATTCAATTTTTGAATGTAATTATTTTAACGGATAATTTCTCTGAACATTTTTTCTTAACAGAATCAAAATTCAAACTAGTAGTTTTTTATTAATTTTACATTGTGTACTAAGGACAATAGGTCCATAATAATGGGTTTTAAAAATATGGGGGCTAGCTGCAGGTGATTAAAGAATGTCGGTAATTAATATTAATTTATCTACATTAATAATTTATATAAATGGTCCAAGTATAATAATAAATACGACTAGATCCATTATTGCATCTGTTTTGTACTTTTGTAAAACCACTTTTAAAGACTAGTATCCTTTGAGTAAAATTTTAAAAACTGAGAAACTAATCGTCCAAATTTTTAATTGTGTACATAAAAATGTCCATTTATTATTCTACAGCAAAACAAAGGGGTAGGGGGTTCTCATTTGAAAAATATTAAGTATTCGTATCGCTGTAGGGCACTCCTTAATAAGCGATACCAGCAGTATCAATAAATGGAAAATATGGTAATTAAATATATTTAAAGATTCCAAAAATCAGATTTTTAATACAACTACATTATTAAAGAAAAATAAGGCGGCGAGCGAGCTTGGTGAATCACTCTGTATATTATAAATACAGTTTTTTAAGTTAAACTTCTTTCTCGAGGTAATATGGGTGGAAAAAAAAACGTAACGAAAAATGAAACGACACATTTGTTGTTTATTTATATATGTCCATAGTAACCATTAATAAACAAAAAGGTCTATCATAAATTACATATTTTTTTTTTATTGTATTGATTTTTCTCACTTCCTCCCTAATATTGACTTATAATTTCACTGTCCCAATTACTTATGAAAGAAGTTTTACTTCGCCGGAATATAATGATGGGCTCACACACCACCTCACTTTTTTATTGTTATATTATATTTATGTATGACACTCGTAAAGCATTTAATCCACCTGATAGAAATGCATACTCGTGTAGAGTGCATAAATAATACTCATTATTGTGTAAATCTTGCAACACCTATATATTATAGGTATGTACTTAATTCCTCGTTTTTAACATTGGATTTTATTTAAATCAATAAATTCATAGGCTATCGCTTATTGAACCCGAGCTGCTAAATAAAGAGGATCATAGTATTTGAATAATGCATTGGTGGTCATGAACTTGTCGAAAAGGTCCGAGCATACAAATGGGGATGAAAAAACATATTCAAGTGTATAATAATATTATATATTATGTTAGGTATGTTGTAGGTTACATCGTCGTACATAAATATATTATTTATATAAATGCGTTTGGTCGTTCTCATTTTTCATTTGGAATTAATCTAATATACCCTCTGGAAAATTGGTGTTAGTTCAGTATATTCACAAGCATAAAACATATGGTCAGGTACTATTATTTGATGTTAGATCATTTTTTTATCCTATGAATTTTAAACACTTGTCACATTTCAGCGGATGTGAAAATATATTTATTAAAATATGCATGTGTAAAACTGTACGACTGTACTCATAATATGCTCTGTTAAATTATTGTTTAAATTAGAGTGAACAATTTTAATTTTAATTTCACATCGATATTAATTGTTTTTCCTGGTTTGAGTTTAAAACAATATACATTGATTTTATAATCTTATGATTTTTATATTGTCGCCCAATATTGATTTAATTGTACTATGATTTTGAACATAAATTTTCTTTTCTTTTTCAATTTAAAATATTTTGAATGCCATTTAAATAAATATTTGATTTTTATATCATTTTTGATTTATTAAACGATTTTTAACAATTTTGATCGATATTTAAAATATATTTTGAAATCGTTTTCAAGCCCAGGACTAAAAATCTGATATTTTTAGGTTTCTAAACATAAGTTTAAAACACCTTATGTCCCCGTTTGCCCGTTAGTAGTTACTAGATTGTTACCAGCTAGTATACATAGTTACTACCGGCGATTGTTATAATAATCAGGTATTTATTTGTTCACTATTGTTCGTATGTACTCTATATATAGGCACCTAGTTACCATTGTTGTTTGTATTAACTATCAAGATGTTCAAGTACAATTCATTGTTGATATTAAGATAAGATAAATTACTTTTTTACTACCTACCTTTGTATATATAAGTATTTAATATACATTCATATGCTATCCAAAAAATACTATCGAATTATTAAGGTAATCAATTTTTTTTTTTAATTTTTTTTCGGAATCTTAGTTTATTGCTTTGAATGAAAATACGTCTGGAAGTCGAGAATATAGCAGGGTCTCAGAGTGAGCTTTCTCAACTTGTTTTAATTTAAATGTGTTTTAATATTTATTTAAATTCAGTTTTAAGTTATACCAATAAAAAAAAATAACAAAATATATTGAAATCGTCGTGAAATCAATTGAAAAAAAAACTGTCACACCGCCGTATAGTAGATTTCGAATTTACTCAACCATCGGGAAGTCACTGTAAATTACAGTCTGTATGTGGATGTGTTGAGTTCAAATTTTATGGTAAACAATTGCGAAAAAAGGTTCTGAGCGGAGTCAGCTTTTTTATCTCTATAAGGATATTTTATAATTTATTTATATTACTATTACTATTAGTAATTTATTTTTATAACCTAACGGTTGATTTAACAGATTTTTATCAAAAACATCACTTAATATACTATTTTATTATTGTTTTAATGTTTGTAATGAGACAAAACGGTGTGGCCATTAACGTGGCGCACTCTCGTTGTGATCATTACCCACGGTCAAACATCGCCCGCCGCGTAGAAACATCGACCGCCCAACCGCAAACCGCAAACCACAGATAGCGCTCCGCCGCGCAATGATTAAACAACGCATGCCGCCCACGGAAAACCTGAGTTTTCCGTGGGAACCAATAGAGCTATCAAAACGTTACGAACATATTCAAAATCAGCGTTATTTTCACCATAATCTGGTAATCTCCAAACACTCTGAACAATAACCTGCAGTTTCGAATCACGCAAGGTGTCAGATAACATTCGAGACGGGACCAGCGAGCCTCGAATGGCATAAATACAGGCCGCTGGCCGCCGTACACACACAGTTCTCCAGCTGAGAGAAGCGAGAATAGCAAGCCGGACGGTATTTGTTACCGCCGAGAACGGATGCTAATTTCGAAACTCTATTACAGCAATTCCTGCCCACTAGACTCAATGAGCCGGACGGTCTTTTTTGACCGCCGATAACGGACATTGTACAGTCTTTCCCGGCACTCCCTACGCTACCGACCAACACGTGTCGAGAACGCCGAGCCGTCGCCGCCGTCGTCCGATCAGTTGTTCGTCGCCGCCCGTCAGAGAAGGTCAACCGACTCCTGTGCCGCCTTCCGACCACTGTGCTGTACCCGTCACTCGTCGCCACCGTCTATTTGAGAACGCCGAGCCGAAGCTGCCGCCGTCCAAACCACGTGTCTGCCGACCTGTACGAAGTTGTGAACGCCGAGCCGTAGCTGCCGCCGTCCAACCATCTACTCACTGTCTGTCGAGAACGTCGAGCCATAGCCGTCGCTGTCCGGTCATTGACCTACCTCTTGCCGGTAGAGTTGAATTTGTTCTACACACCACCAGTCGAAAAAACCAACATACCGCCACGCAGAGCTGAGTCACTGTTGTTTACCGAGAGTCGAGCCGTTCACGCCGGTAATAATCAATTATTACCGTGCCGCCGTGATCGCGCCACTGTACGTGGATGCTCATTGCCACCATCGTCCCGCCACATACCATTCTACAAACCGTGAGTTAAATGTTCATGCTGTTCCCCCCCAATATTTTATGTAAATCCCGTAATTAAAATATTTTTTATGTACACTCGCAAGAGTATAATATATAATAATTCAAAAGAAATACTGTATTACACATCACCAAATTGTATCTGTATAACGAATTATTACGTATGTGAAATAAACGTGAAATAATAAATTGAATAAATACCAACACGTTATTTTCCTTACATGTTACTAACATATTCTCAAAGTCAATAGTCCTACGCAGTGACTCCAAAATATATATTTACCTATGACAATCGTCATAGGTGATTTTAGTAGGTAAGTGTTGACCTTTGTCATTCTATAGTTATTTTATGAACGTTTGTTTAATAGACAACATACAAACTATACTTGGTGTATGGTAAGGTAATTATAAGAAATAGGTGGGTGTCAACATTTTATATGGAGGTGTCTAATGTCATATGTACAATTTTGTGTTTTGAAATTAGACTAAATGCTTTGAAAAAATAAATTATGTAAATGATGAAAATTTATGAAAACGATAATATTTAAGTGGTAATAAATTGTTTCAAATTTTCAAGCTTCTACGATTAGTATTTTTTTATTTACAAGAAAATAAAGAAAATCGTTCTAGGAGAAATCACAGACTTTTGGTTAATCCATAAATAAATCATGTCATTAACTAGCAAGTACTAATTCTCGTTAGTTTGCACGACCTGCAATAAAAGATGAGTGGATATGCTCAATGACAGTGGCGGATCATGCATTTTTTTTGGGGGGGGGGGAGGGGAGGCATTGTCTTTTTCCAAGCTTACAAATATTTAAAAACGGCCCAAAGTATTGACCTAGATGGGTCAGTCCTTCTGCCTCCCCTTAAATCCACCACTGCTCAGCGAATCACCCTGTATATACCAACAACGGAAATACATAAAATATAATACACACACATAAATAATTATAAGAGAATCGATGAGATTTTCGAGTTGAATATTGTCTATAATATGATATAGGAATAAGAAAAACGATTTAATATTATTTACTCTGAACCGACATGAAACGGATTTTTATTTTTTTATCTCGTTTCCATACCATCGTACACGGAATGAGAACTGCGTTTACCGAATATTACATCTCAATACGTATACATAATATCGCATAGGATTTATTATTGTTGGCGATGGAGAATAAAGTATATAATATTATTATGATATCGTCGCTGCAGTGTGTTAAACGATTTCGCATAATTCTTTGGATTTCCCTCCGAAAATCGTGCAGTTTAAACATATATATAGAAACACACTACGGCCATAGTACACGTACAGAATTATTATTTTATATAATATTATATTATACTTTAGCAGAGGCAGCCGCCGCCGCCGCCGTCAATTGCATAAAAACGCGGAATAGCTGCTGCAGCACTGCTCAACACATATATACAATTCGAGATATTAAGTGAGTGTAAGTTGTAAAACCCGGAGCTGCGAACGAAAATTAAGTGTCAAGTTTTGTAATAAGGAAAAAAAAAAATAATAATAATAAAAAAAAAGCAAAATATTATTATTATATAAGGCAAATTGAAGCCAGCACGTCTGTTACACGCGCATACACCCCTCCGCTCACCGACACCTGCGATTGACGTTCTTTAGTAAAATATGGCGCCATTCTTGGTCTCCTTCCAATAACTTTCACGCCACACCACCAGCTCTCTCTCTCGCATTTATTAAAACCCGAAATTTATTATAATGTTCGGCCGATTGTAAACCCTTTTCCCCAGAAGTCCGACACCCTGCCGCCGCCGTCGTTCCACGTGCCAAACATGATTTATATGAAATCTATATATATGAACAGGTCGTCCACTCACACCCCCACCCCCTCCCCACCTTAGTGGTACAGATTCGGTACACTATATAATATATATATGCGTCGCGGTATATATTATATTATATAAATACATAATATAGTGTTTGATATGGTATATAGTCGTAGTAGTGTCGGTGGTGGTGGTGGTGGTGGTGACCAGGGTTATTAATTAAAGTTTAGAAAGTAATTCCGAAAGCGGAACTTGCGGGAACCCAACTTTGCCGCTCAAGTCCGACACGCATACTTAAATTATATATATTATACAGTACACCTATTGACATTGTCCGCGGACTCGAACCACTGCAGCAAAGTTTTTACGTGTCAACCGACCAATAATAATAATAATTAGTACTTACCCTTCTCATCCCACTGTTTCGATCCGTTTTGTAGAGTGTTTATAATATTATACTCGCCGTTAATTATTTATTTTGTTGTTTCCGGGGGGTGGAATCGCAAAACGAATTTCGTGACGTGCGTCGACGGAGGGCTGTAGCCCATTTGCGCCCAAGAGCAGCCAATTTGCGCCCCGAGGGTTATGGACATTTGCGCCCAAAATAAAAAACTTAACACCCTGATTTATAGCCCAAATGCGCCCATTTTGCATGAAAAGTTGCTGCGTTTGTTGTTTAAAAATATACAATCCTATGTAAAATCAAAATTAAAAAAAAGTAATAATTTTAAAAATAATGTTAAATACTAAACAGTATACATATTATATTTATATATAAATATTATTTATATTGTATTAAATTATAAATTTCAAATAGAAAGCTCTGTACGTATTATTTTACTAGGTCGTAAAGTTAAATCTTCACACGCTTTTCTTTTACACCTACCTTGAACGTCCAGTAAGTTTAAACTTTCTTCAGTTTCCGGATCATGGGTATGGCTGTCTTTAATTTCGGTTAACTTCGTTTTTGAACTATTGGTTTTGACATACGAACTACAGGTTTTTTTTACACAACGCCAACTTATATCTCCAGAAACAAGGGTTCTACTCACGTGATTTTTAAAATAACGAAAAACTAAACAAAGTTTTTGTTTACTTGAAATAGTTATATACAATTCCATTATAGTAGTACTCACTATTCATGTACTGATGCAACTGACGCATAAAATACAACTGATAAATGCATTTTTATATAATATAATCTTTATCGATTGGGATTTTACAATTTCGATTAGCACGACTATAACGACAAAATATTATTATCTTTATCGATTTGGATATTGGTTTTGATTAGCTTGGGAAACGATCAAATATATTATATTTATATTTTATAGTTACACGCCAATATACTCAATAAATGGCAACGTTGCACGATTTTCACCTGATCTGAATCGGGCGCATATGGGCTATGACTTGGGGCGCAAATGGGCTACGATAAATGGGTTCGGGCGCAAATGGATTGCGCCGCGACGGAGCTCGTAGTCTGAGCTTTATATTATTATATTATAGTTTCCCATGGAGAAGTTTCGAAGCGATTTTTGGTTTATATAATATTATTTACCATTTATTATCGTGCCAATCAACCGCTTTTGCACGGATTTAAATATTAAGGGGATCGCATGTCAGGTATTTTTCGTACGTTTTAGACCAATAAGCGGTGGTAAATTACACATACTTCCGAATGTCCGATTTTAATTTTTAATATATTTACGAATTCTTTGACAACATAACTAGGCTTTCTAGGAAGTCGATTTTCAATTTTCAATTTTAAAGGACCATAAAATTTATATTTTTTTTTAAAAATCTCATGAAATAATTACATTACATTTGTTTTTATTTTGGGCTGCTTTTTGGGTTTTATATCAAAAAAGTGGTTCCTACAAATCATAGTCTAGGAGCTTACGAATTCAACCCTTTATTCGAAATTAAAATCAAACTTCAGGAAGTATGTTTAATTTACTACCGCTTTTGGTAGTTTTTATGGGTGATGCATAGGACTATAGGAAAATATAATATTTCGTTTTTCTCGATTTATTGACATGTGAGTGTGCGTGCGAGAGTGGCACACGACGGATTCCGAACGTATCTACGCACACTAATGATCATTTACTTCGCACACAACCACACTGCATAACGATTATAAGACATCAAATTGCCTATACGCGACCCCTTATTAAACACCGCCTTCAACCCCCTTAATCGAAAACACTAGTTGCAGACTGCAACCCGATCGATCACGGTTCATCTTTTTCGAGACCCGATTGAGCACGGATTTAATCAAACGATAGAAATCCAAGAAATAACAACAAAATACCATAACCAACACCAACTTATGGCCATAGGCGAAAACTTTTGGTTCCGGGGGTGGACCACTAAAAATTAGGGCCCACAATAATTTTGAAAACAATTATATAGATACAGACAAATGTCTTAAAGATATCAAATGCACTAAAATTGTTTATTTTATTTTATTATTCATTCTAATAAATATTACAATCATAATATACAATCTTATAATGATAATCGACGTTTAAAACTTAAAAAGGAACAACATTTTTGAATTCATCAATAATTTCATTAACTTAATTTACACTTAATTAATAATTAGGGCCTTTGTCGTTTTTGGTGAAGGGTCCATGGGTATCCCGGCACCCACTGTGCGCACGCCTATGCTTATGGCGTAACGCATTTCACTTGCCGAGAGATAACAAATTAAGGGAAATAGAACATTATACTACGGATAGATAGATTAACCCACTAAATTTAACCAGAAAACAGGATGTAATACTGACGCGACTAAGCATAGGACACACTTGGCATACCCACAAACATCACGTGGATAAATCGGAACCAGAATCATGCAGTACTTGCGGTTCTGAAATCTCCGTCAAACATTTACAAGTAGAATGTCGTCAATTTAACGAAGAAACATCAAAATACGACATACGACATACATTTACAACTTAATTAGTATATAATATAGAGGACAATGGCCGCGACAGCAGTCGAGGCCTTATAAATCTGATACATTTTGGAGGACTTATTTTCATAAATTAACTAAAGTCATGTGTGACGATCGTGTGACATAAACGCGTAGCATGCTACTCGATATTTTCCACTTCGAAGAAAATTTATGAATCATGAATATGTATTAATAAGTTATAAATAGTAACCATATTGTATACTAATATTATAAACTTATAGTGGAAATTAGGTAATTGTTGCATTTTATTCGTTTCTATGGTTATAACTAGAGTTAGGATGTTGATGACTTTTGCATTTTTTTTCCTTTTATTCTGTACAATGCTATCCTAGCTAAAAATTTGTTTTCATGCTCCCCTGATGCAGAATATTCTAATTTTATTTTGCATTTTTTGCATTTTTAGCAATAAATGCATTTTTTTTGTTTTTTGAAGTCATTTATCAACATTTTTAAGTCATTTTTTCATCTTCTAGGGCATTTTTCACGAATTATAGATTTTAGGGCAAATGTTACACCCAAGTTTGGAAACAAATTTAATTTATTTAAAATCTAACTTTGGATTTGGACTATTAGGAGAATGTCATTTTGAAGAATAATGGATTTAAAATTGTAACAAACATCTCTGAAATGCTAGATGGCCATATTAATTGTACAGTGCAACAATGCAATATGAATATTATTATAACATCAACATCCAACACTAATAATGAAAATATTTTTAATATAATTTTTTTTATTTATATTTTACTTTTTAATTTATTTTTAATATTGAATTTTATTTATAAATTATTTAAATGCTTCTACTATTACACCCATTATTACACCCATTATTATAATTTAGGGCATTTTTGCCCTTTTTTAGGACTTTTTTAGGGCATTTTTGTGTGTTTTTTAGGTCATCAACATCCTAACCATCTAGTTATAACCAAAGAGTTACGAAAAGTCGGTTAGAAAATAAAAATATCTGTACCCAGCCGAAAAACATATCTATGTCAAAACCAATTTTCAATCGACAAATATTATTTGTATTAAACCTATCGAATTTGGTGACATAACTACTGACAGTAAAGTTTGAAGGATTTTCACATAAATAATTCTGTTGTACCGATCGCCGGAACAACGAAAAAGCAGACGTATACTACTTACCTATAGGGTTTTTCACATAATTTTTTGTCGGACGTGATCATCGTCTTCGTCATAAATATAATTATATTACTGTGTCTATTTCGAATGAGCCGAAAACTCGCGGTCGCGAAATTCTAAAACGATTAACAATTTTATTTTATTTACTCGTTTATCGATTTGAATAATATAATACGGATAGAATAAAGCTATTTTAGTTCGACTGAAGGGTATTTTGTAAATTAATTTAAGACGAAACCAATACAAGACAGTCCGGCAGTCTCATGTGGTCGCTCGTTTGTTTGTTTATTTTAATTTTTAGCCAACGACGAAATAAACCGTTCCAGCTATACTCTGGTCGTACTTTTATTTTCATATACATTAATATTGTCCAACGAATATTTTTAGTTTGCCTTATTAGTAGTTAGGTATTTTAACTGCATTTTTACGCATGTGCATTACCGTTGACGCGGTATTACATTGGGGTAGGTATGTGGTATATTATGCAGGTATTATGCAAGGTTGGGCATTAACGAGTTAAAAGTCAAAATTAAGTTAAAACGTTAAGTTGATTTTAATTAAGTTAATTAACTCGTTACTTTTTTTTTCAAATTAACTTTTAACTTAATAAGTTATTTTTTTTCTAGATTAACGTGTTAACCTCAAGTTAATTTTATTTCAAAAATATCTAAATTATGTTAATTTTCGTCCAAAGAATAATGGAAATTTTAGAATGTGTTTTTACTTTGATGTGTCATTTTAAATTTCCCCAGTAATTTTCTTGAAAAATCTAAAAAACCATGTTATGGGTCCGGAATTTTTTATTTTTGCACATTAGAATATTGTGACTGTACACTAAGTTAAGTTACTTTTTTTTCAAAGTTAACTTTTAACTTAACTTAACTTAATTATTTTAAAATAACTTAACTTAACGAGTTAAAAAAAATCGTTAACTTGCCCAGCCTTGGTGTGTGATAACACCATAGGCGCAATTTGGGGGGTGCTTGGGGGTGCCTAACACCCCCAAAAATTATATTAGCACCCCCAAATTTTTGATAGCATCATCGAATTTTTATTGACTATAAAATTATGCCATAGGTATTTGGATGCAATTATTTCTAAGACACCTATTCATAATAATAATGAATAATGATACATAAGTATCACTAGTATCAGAATAATAATATAGGTAAAAGTGTATTTATTTGTATTAATGAGAAGGTGTACAAAATAAAGTTGTATGAATGGAAGGGGATGTGTGGGGCAAACCCCATTTATTTTGATATAAATCTAGCACCCCCATAAGTTCAACCCAAATTGCGCCTATGGATAACAGTATAACACTGCTCACATATATACACAGTAACAAAAATTACGTCAATACATAGTAAAATGTTCTCTTATTTGCGTTGCTCAATAGTTTAGAGTACCCGAGTACCTATATAATATGCATAAATTATGTCAAAGTTTGTTGTTTGTACCTTGGCGACTATATGGTGTGGAGAGGCCACCCACTGCAATTACAACACTCATGTAATGTACACAAGTCGTATTATAATTAATTTGTATTTCAAAACTTTAATCGAGTTATTAAAAAATAATTAATAACTTAAAAAATGTTGTTCATTATTTGGATGTAAGTAATGTATTATTATGTAATTTTTAACTCTTCGGCAATCTATATAAAAAATACCAAGTTACAAACGCAGGACGCTATTCTAAATTTTCCATTGTGAATCATAAATAATATGTATTGATAAGTAACCATCGATCGTGTACCATATTATTATATACCTATATAGTGGTAAATAGGGGATACACAAAGCGTTACGCAAAGTCTGTTAGAAAATTAACATATCTATGCCCTGTACCCCAAAACCATATTCATGGTAAAACGATTTTGAATCGACTAATAATTATTTGTATCGAACCTATCGCGTTTGGTGACGTCATAACTACTGAGAGAAGCTTACGCTGGAGTTTCACATACTCAGTTTAGTTAGTTATTCTTTGTAG